AGCCTCTTTTCCCATTTTCTTCTTGGTCTTCATTACTGGATTTCCTTGGTTTTTAGATCTTCGGCTGGAAGCCAGAGCCTTACACCAGTCTGGACCAGCTGCAGTCAGATATGCCAGAGGCCCTGAAGGAAGTGATCAAGGCAGATGCTGAAAAGAACAATGGGGTAAGATTGTGTGGATCATGTATATTTCATTTTAAAGGAATTTGAACAAGTGCTTGAAATGAGATGGAAAGCAGAAAAATGAAATTTTGGTTTTGAAGTAGTTTTAAAATTAGGAAATGATGTAACACTTAGTACATTGAGTTTATGGCAGAAAGTTAAAGGACCTGCACAAAGTGCATATGGTGTGCATGTGTACACTGCTGCATCTCAAGAAAAAGAAGTTGATGAACTGGGGGAGTGACTTAGACAACATAAGTAGGTTTCCACATAAGGCAAAGATGAAGCATTCATATTTTTTATAAACCCATGCATGGTACTGGATTGCTGGAAATTATTTTATCTCTTGGGAACTGGTATAATTGACCCCTGTGTGTGCTAGTCTTTGTTGCAGTTATGTTGGAAATTCCATTTTGCAATTTGATTTCATGTGGTTTCTGTTGTATGAGTGCTGCTCTGTGCATTGCAGACACTGAATCCAATGGTGTGGATGAGCTGCCATGGAGAGAATCCAGCTGATAAGGAGAATATTGGCCCCATTCATTATTACCCTCATCAGGGCTTCCCTGCATATTACTTTCCTTACATGAACCAGGCTGGATACCACACTCCACTTGTTGCTCTCATCTTCCAACAGCCCAACAGTGAGATACTTTGAAATATTTTACTCCTTGTCCATGGGTGTAATTCTAATTGGAACAATATCTATTGGTATTGCTGTGTTAGAAGCAACTAATGCCAATGAATTTTTATTTGCAGATGACTAAGTTAAGAATGTGTTAGTCAGTTGTCAATTCATTATTTCATTTTGAAAATGCAAAAAATAGTTTGCCTGTGAGCTGTGAAACTTGCAAATTCTGATTTCCTTGAAAATATTGTGGGCCTTTATGTTAATAGCTTAATTCAGGCTGCATAAAGCTCCAGTAGCTTAGGGCTGGCTTCATGAATATTTAGGTATTTTTATGAGCTGTGAAACTTGCAAATTCTGATTTCCTTGAAAATATTGTGGGCCTTTATGTTAATAGCTTAATTCAGGCTGCATAAAGCTCCAGTAGCTTAGGGCTGGCTTCATGAATATTTAGGTATTTTTTGCATCATCTTTTTTTCTTGCCCTGATTGTCATTGTCATCAATGTAGGTGGAGTCCTGATCAACATTGAGTGCCAGGCATGGGACCAGAAGATAGTTCATGCCCGTCAGGAACGCATAGGCTCCGTCCACTTTGAGCTCCTTGTCGATCAGAAGGTCCCAAAGTTTTAGCATCTCATTTTCTCATGCATAGACCTATAGTCCATGTTGCAAGTTCTAGGTTGTGTCCCTGGATCTGGATCCCCCTTGAGAAACATTTCTGTCAAACCATTCTCTCTGTGCATTCACTGGCATTTATCATGTATTGGTGCTTTTTTGTTTTCTCTTGCTATTATTCTCAGAGTCCTTTGGTATTTCCCTTTTTTTCCCACTACCATTGTTCACATTGTGGCCAACTGGGAATTGAACACCAGTTCAACTCTTAAGACCCAAGAAATAGTTATTAGCAAAACAAATTCCTACCCTTTAATATGCTGGTTTGACTTGGAATTGACCAAGAGTGAATATGTTTTTAAACATCGAGTTGAACAAATTTCACGTGTCTTTTGGCTGGCTCGTATAACTTTACCCGGATTTCGACAAACGGCCCGAGTGAAGGTATGAGAGCCAGTTCTCGCATCCGAAAGCGCTGAGCTGTATCATGCATTCAAAATGGTGCTTTCGAGCCATGTTTTTTGTGTGAATGTACACCTGCATAGTATACCCAGGAGGATTATCCCCTCTTTTACACAAGTATTTGAGATGTCATGATGTGGGGATGGGATTCGATGCCAGGGGGTGTCCGTGTTACGTTTTGTCGTGCATGTACGTGAATGTTTTTATGCAGAATTCTTCCACCCTCTTCCTCATGTAGAAGCTGTGCACCGTAGCGAGTCGATCCCCCCTTGGGGTGCATGCACGGTCTGTCTCCACGTGGCTGTGATGGCCCCCCCCCCCTCAAATGCCTCGAGCTTTTCGAACAAAGGATTGTGTTTGCAGAATTCCTCTCCCCTCCCCATGTAAAGAGATGCTGATTGATGATGTTGAGGAAGGTTGAGTACCTCCCCATGCCTGAGCTGGGTTGCTCAGTCTCTCCTGTACAGTGTTCTGCCCTCTTTCCCATTCTTTCTTTTATTTCTCCCTCCTTGTGTGAATCCCAGCGGGGTCCATTGGATTTCCCTACGTCTGGATGGCACGTTTGTTCCTCTCTACCTTCCAAGAGTCCTCTTTCCTTGCTCGGAAATGCCGTCGGGAAAGGATGGGAATCGTGAAGGGTATTTAACCGAGTTCTCCCTCAGGTCTAGCACCTAAACTCTTTTGATAAACTAATGTTTTGGTAATATTGCACGGTCGCATGTAGATATGTACCATGCAAGAAATCTTGCACTTTTTTTCTCGTTTTCACTCCTGTAAAGTTTTTATGAAATGTGTGGGTTTTTTTGTTAAGTGCAAATTCTTTATATTAATAGATCTGCTTGCTGATGTTTTAAGGATTTATGTGAAGATAGAGAGGAATTGTCTGTTTTACTTGTATTTTGGGGGAATCTTAGCACTGCTGCCCACTGGAAGATATGTACAGACAACTTGACAGTTCAAAGTGGAGAGTTGCATTCAGGATTTGGAGATCTGATTAGGTGCAATATTTTGTGCAATTAGAGCTGATCTGATGAGACATTTGCAGACTTGCATTTAGCTGCTGACTGGCAATAAAGTCCTATCTTGAGCCACATGCGATGCTATTTTTTTGAATGGATGAGTTAGGTAAAGCCCAGTTCTATTTGAGGGCCACTGTCACGTAGACCAGTGGTTCCAGTCTTTTTTATTTGTGGCACACAGCCTGAACTTTCCCCAACACACCCAGCCATTTACTTACTTTCAATGGGAATCTTGTGCTCGCTTCGCCGAACACAGCAATTTGATAGAGACTCGATAGTGCAACTTGGCTCGTTTTCCTATTGAGAGATTGTGTTCCCTCTTGTTTTTAAGTTTTTTTTTAGTTCTAATTCGTTAGTTTTTTATCTCTGACCTCACAGCACACCTAAGCCTTACTGGCGGCACACCGTTTGGGAAACTGACGTAGACGATACCCCAGGAGTAATTGGATGGATGGGAAAGGGAATGGTCTGGGGATTCATGGGGATTGTTGGTGGTTCATGCAAAGGATCGTGAAGCACCCCATCTTCTGCTGTCCGACGATGGTCCCTCAAATTCAATTTGAAGACGAAATGAGAAAGATGAGCATTTTATTGAACATTTGTAACATTTTCATGCCCTTATGAGGCGGTATTTTTCTGCCGAGGCTGGCCCGAGGCCGAGTACATACACCTGCACTGCACCGTGCAATCGAGCTACGCGCTCGATACACGACACCACGCAGTAGCATGAACGGACCGAAAAAGTTGCAATTTCGAAAGATCTGCCATACCTCATCGCACAAAAACGTTCCCATTCCATACGGCCGCAGTACCGTCCCACGGTCCCACGGTTGTAAAACCGCGCGATCGATGGCGTCGAACGAGTTGCCTAGTTACGCCCCGACCTCGGTCGCTCTCGCGTTTCCCTCCCATTCGCTCGTCCGTCGATCCTCACGCCGGACTCGCGCTCGCTCCCGGCGCCTCCCGCAGGGCGTGAAGCATCTCCGCGTCGGACGTGACCTCGCGCGACCCGATGGGAGGTCGGGGAGGCTGATGGGCGCCGTGGTCGCGTGCAGGACCGTCGAGGGGGTCCACGACTCCGAAACCTCGCATCACAAGTGCAGGAACAACGACTACCCCGTCTTTCAGGTTACACTTTATTTTTTTATTTATTTAATTATTAAATACTCAGTAAAGTCCTTTTTTTAAAATATACTTCTAATGATAAGATTGACTTCGTAAGTGTTAATTAAAATATTATATTTTGGGTTCACATTTCGACATTTCCACTGAATCCATGTACAGGGTCTTTCATAAACGTGTACCACATTTTCCGATAGTGGTACTTATCTAAAATGTTGATGATTCGGTATTCACGTTACAGACTTTGTTTCGACGAAACGCTCGAAAATCCGCTCTTGCCGCTTCTCCAATGTCATTTGAAAAGTAAAAGAAACTCATGAAAGTCAACAGCAAAAGCAAAGAACAAATTATAAAATAAAATAAAATAAAAAATAAATAAAAAAATAAAATTTATATACCTGTATATATACCTGCCCCTCCTACGAACGGTAACCCACTGCTGATGACTGATGACTGATGACTGATGACTGATCGCAGGAGGAAGACCCAGACCCCGACTCCTCTCCAACCGTCGTTCGGAGGCAGGAGGTCCCCGACGACAAAGTGGGCTGGGATGTCCCCTGGCCCGCCTACGACCCACCCGCTTACACCTCGCCCCACCTCGCGAAGCAGTCGTGGGCCGACCCGGATATCGAGTCCGTCCGCAAAATGTTTTTTTTTTTCCTTCTTCCAGGATTTTCCTCAAAATTAATTCCAAATTTTTAATTATTTTTTAAATTTAGTTTTCCAGGTTTTCACCCGACGTGGAACGTGATCGACGGGACGGTGGACCGGCGGAGCACCTTCACGGAGTACCTCGTCGTGGACGACACCCCTAGGTACGTCGCGGGGGGGTCGTCGTGGTTCCCTCTTCGTTTCGAGCCGACTCGTTCCCGGAAGAACCTCGGCATAACGCAGACATTCGCCTGAATCAACAAAGTTGTTTTGATTTTTGGGCAAAAAATCCAGCCCACTCAATAACTAATTTATTTATTCCTATAATAATTTTCCATCCATTTCTAATAATTAAAAAATTCCCAACCTTTCGGAATGGACTTTCACGTGGAAACCTTCGTACGTCCTTCGATGTTCATCGGACGCACTTTCACGGTTTTAAATATATTTCTCCTCGACGTTCGTCGGCAGGGACGAATAAACTTCGGCCCAGAAGAAGAGCCAGACCGAAGCATTTAATTTTTATACGAGGAGTGGGTCATCTCGGAAAGGCCCCGATCGCGATTAAAGACCAGGAAAAGAGGGGAGGACGACCTCAGGGATTTTCTCCCTGTCGTCCCTCTTCGTTCTCTCCATTGGTGAACGGCGAAGAAGGTGGGAGTCGTTCCGATGAGTCGCGAATTGAACTCCGTGCATCGTGGTCGAGAAAGCGCTCCATCCTTTTTAGTGGGCCTCCTTTTTAGTGGGCCTCCTTTTTAGTGGGCCTCCTTTTTAGTGGGCCTCCCAGAGAGGACTGACGGTCCCGTCCCGTCCGTGTGTCGCACTTTGGTCGTCCGACGATAACCGAGAAAATATCGGCCCGACGAGTGCAAAAATTGGGAAGCACGTCGATACGGAAGGCACAGGCCGAGTTCGTTTTGCGGCGAATTTCGCGCCTTTCCTCGCGGCCGCGGGAAACGGAACGGACGAATCGTCCTCCACGACACCCGGGAGGCAAGGAGGCTCGGACACTACCGACACCTACGAGAAGGGACGTGAAGCACGAGCACGTGACCTCGAGTGGACGCGCTCGCGCCGCTCCACGGATTTTCTCCCAAAGTCTTTATATATTTCGACGGGACTTACGAAAATGGCTTGAACATCCATCTGACGGCACGAATCGGCTTCGAGTTTTGCTGAACGGCACGCGGATACGTCGATCGATCGCATCGTCTCGAGGTTCTTCGCATTTTTCTCGGGGTGGAACTTCGCATCGAGTGACGATTTCTTCCGTCGACTTGGATTTTTCACCCGTGTTCGATTTCTGCTGTAAAATTTGCACGTGAAATTGCGTTTATAAGAACTGCTAAAAGTAGCCTCGAGTACTTTCGCTGCATCCGAATGCGAGCGTCTCACCACAAAGGAACGATTTGCACGTACGACGCTGTGCAAAAAAGCCTTGCCAAAAAAAAAATTATTTACGATCGAACGCGTTCAAAAAAGTGCGAAACGAACGGAGAAGGACTCGGGCGTTTTCGTCGGCAGGAACCCGATCGGCCGGACGGGCCTCCGGGGCAGGGGCCGACTGGGCCGCTGGGGGCCGAACCGGGCCGTGGACGCCCTGGTCACCCGTTGGAAGCGGGACGAGCACGGAAACCTGGAGGTCCATCCGGAGAGTGGGAAGCCCATCATGCAGTTCGTGGCCATTCAGAGGACGGACACGGGGGAATGGGCCATTCCTGGGGTAGCCAGCCTTTCCTTTTTATTTTTATTTTACTATTTTTTATTTAATTAAATATATGCTTGAATATATATTTTACCCTTTAATGCACGATGCAGCAGATATGTTTCGTTCCAAATAAAAATTATTGTAATGCGTAGGAAGCGAGCCCCAGCGGTCGCTAGGTTGCTCCTTACTCCTGGTGGCAGACGAATTAAAAATACAAGACTAATTAATAAAGACTTGATCTCGTGACAGACTGTCCTTGTCGGTCCAACAATTTTTTTAACTTAACGCTAAATCCACGATCCACGGTCATCCGCATTTTCAACATTTCCTTTCTTGCGCTGAGGTATGTCGGAATATCGGCCGACCGACTGAACTCTCTCTCCTTCATCCGCCATGGGTTTGGAAGCTGAAAATGTCGGTTGTAGCAAATTTGTAGCAAATTTGTAGCAAATTTGAGCAAATTTGTAGCAAATTTGCAGCAAATTTGCAGCAATAACAATTTCGGGTCTACTACTTTGAGGAAGGATTTCCCCACTTTTCCCTTGTTCTACGACCTTGGTAAACCCTACCAGACTTTTATTGCCAAAAAAATAAAAAATCAAGCATTAAAGGGTTAAATATTTAATTAATTGAATCTTTTATCAATTTGATAAGTAATATGTGGAGCGATATTTTTTAATGCATGCTTTCCGATATACAGGTAATTAGTTGACCGAATTAAAAATTATTCATTATAACTTCCTTTCCGTTCCTGTCTCGAACCCCCTCCACCCCCCCTCGCCCCCCCCCCCCCCCTCGCCCCGATTCCAGGGATTCCCCCGCTTGAAGGAGGGGATGTCCCAGACGCTGTGGCGGGAGTTCCTCGAGGAGGCGCTGCAGGGCCAGGGCATGGAGAACGGGGAGAGGCAGGACATCCTCAACAGGACGGCGCATTTCTTCAACAACGGCGCTCTCGTCCGTTCCGTTCTCGGCTTACATTTTTTTCTATTTTTATTTACTCAGTGTTTCCATGCGTATTCACAGAAATGTATTTTATTAATTTTTTTAAAGCAAATTAAATGAATTTTTTTTACTATTAATTAACGAATTAAGAAAACTTTTTTATCATTTCCATCCCGCATGGGTATAAATTTGAGGATGAGATGCTAGTTCCCCATTGCAAACGTATTGGCATTCCTCCCCTAACCCACCTCCGATCCACCACTAATCCGCCCCGGATCCACCCACGATCCACCACTAATCCGCCCCTGATCCACTTCTTACTCGCTTCCCACCCGTTGATTATCTTTCTCATCCACCTCGATCAGACGAATGCACGTTGTAGCGGCTCAAGTGTTCCAGTAATGTTTGTTTTTCCTTTCACTTTGCGCTTTTTGTTTAATTATTTTTTCAAAAATAATTAAAATATCGGATCTGCAACTTCACGAGGAGGCAAATATTCCAATTGGGTTAAACTGCACGAAGTGAAATTGGCTTTTATGTGTGAGCGTGCGAAACCGCGCGCGTGGAGGAGTCATCAGGGGCAGGGTGGATGCTCGCCTGCTTTGGGCGTTTTTTTTTTTTTCTTCGCCTCTCTTCGTTTCCCCCATCGTATATATTTTAATTTTCGCGCCATATATTTGTGACTTTAATTTTTTTTTCAATATATAATTCATTACGTTAAAATTACTCGAACCCATTCTATTTAAAACGTACTCGAAATAATTTAGCAGAAATAACGTTCTAAAATGAATATATTTATAAATACGAAAGACCTCCCATCTGTACTCCAGCTGTACCGCGGCTACGTGGACGACCCGCGCAACACGGACGACGCGTGGCTGGAGACGGTGGCGTACCACCTGCACGACGCGGAGGGGGACGCCGTCCAGCAGCTGCAGCTCAAGGCGGGATCCGACGCGAAGGGCGTGGCGTGGCTCGACGCCCGGAAGGAGCTGGACCTCTACGCGTCGCACGAGAGGATCCTGCAGATGGCGGTCGAGGCGGTGCAGGCGCATTGGTGAACCCGGTTTAAAGGGAATCCTGGGGTTTAAAGGGACTCGTCCCGACGGCGACGGTGCACTGCCGTTTTCTTTCGAGTGCCGATTTCCTTATTTCCTTGCACGACCTGATTTCTCGAGACGGCGCAGGCGCGTCTCGATTGGGCTTCGGGGCGTAAAGAGTGCTCCTCGGTTGCGCCTTCGACCGGCGTCAAATTATTTACTTTTTTTTTCTGTTTCGTGGGAAGGCATTCCTGGTAGAAGTAAAACTTAATGAAATAAAATGTAAAATATTTTATTTGTGATTGGCTTTGTCTTTGCCTTCCCCAGAGTGCGTCGAAGAATGTATTTTGAAGATGTTTATATTTTAAATAATTTTGTTAATTTTACGAGAAGTGCAAATGAAGGGATTTTTGTGCCACTATGCAACACGGAATTCCTCAGACGAGTGGATCTTCTGGAATATTGAAATGAATTTGATTGAACACGAGAAAAGTTTTTTTTTTTTTCCTGCGAGCTGGATGGAAATCCCTTCACGCGACAGAAAAGGGAGGGAAACTTGTCACAGAGAAACGAAGGGGATATCTCACAGAGAAAGATTCTCTCGACCGGATGCCCTTTTCCCCCTCAGTCGGCGACGTAACCATGCCCTCGCCCCCCTTCTTTCATTCTTTTCTAGCGTCGCGATTGGAAAAGGGAACGGCCGGAAAGGATTCCCCCTCTTCCCTTTCCTCTCTCGATTCGTAATCGATGGGGATCCCCGATGAGGTGGACATTCCAATCGTCGATGACAACCGCGTCAATAAATCATCCGCGTCCCTCCTGCGAAAGCTAACTCACTGCTGATGGCTGACGGCTGATGGCTGATGGCTGTGATACCCACCTGCTCAAAAAGAGAGGAAGAGTGTCTCGGCGACAACGCACTGCCGTTTCTTTCGACTCATTTAGCTCTTTCGATGCTCTATCTAATTTCTCGAGACGTTTCAAGCGCGCCTGTTGCACTTCAGGTGCGCCTCGAGTGCTCCTCGGTTGCGCCTCAAGCCGGCGTGAAATAAGTTACTTTTTTTCTTTTTCGTAGAACTCCAGTCTAGGCAGAAGTGGAATTAAACGAAATTAAAGAGGAAATATTTTTTTGCGATTTTACGCTAGACTTGGTCTTTTCCTCCCTCAGGGTGCGTCGAAGTTTGTATTCATGTCTTTTGAAGATATTTATGTTTTTATGACTTTGTACATTTTATGAGAAGTATATTGAATGATTTTTGTGCCACTTTGCAACACGAAATTGCTTAAACGATGGATTTTCAGGAATACTGAAATAAATTTGCTGGGACACCAAGAAAAGTTTTTTGACGTGCCAGCCGGATGGGAATCCCTTCACCCGTCAGTGCAACGAAGTACCGGGAAAAAGTTGGGGAAAGAGGGATCGATCCTTTGAGGATCGATCCTCAAAGGATTCCACCCTTTTCCCCATCTATTTTCTTCCTCGAAATCGATGGGATCGGCCGACGAGGGGGCTTCCGAATCGCCACTAACGGCCGCGTTAATGATTCATGAGTGTCCCGCGACGGGAAAACGAAGGAGATTCCTCACAGAGAAACGAAGGGGGATTCCTCACAGAGAAGGGGATTCCCAGCCCTGGGAATCGCTCTCGACCGGATGCCCTTTTTCTTCGCGGCCGGGGATGCTGGCATCTGCTTCCTTCCTCGGGGCTCTCGCGAGGACTCGCGGGATGGAGGAAGCGAGCGACTTTCACTCGCGGCGTGCATCCAGGGATGCGAGGTCGTCGCGTCGGCCCTGGTCGCTTCGAGGGCTTTCACCTTCCGTCGGACGTCGGAGTCGCGACCCTCTCCACAGCCTTTCTCGCTTTTCCGGAAACGCGTCTTTTCTCGGGGCCGAGTGATGCGGCTGGGTGTCGACTCGAGGTCATCCGGATTACTGCAAGTCTTGCAAAATGAAGAAACGGGGCATGGGTGAATGATGAAAAAAGAGCGAATAACAACTGCAAAAAGACTCTGAATGCGTCAAGGAGTTACTTTTGGCCGATGACGCGCTCCTACGGGCGGCAGGAACCGAGACCGAACGGGTAAACACGCCCGATTCTCTATTAATGGAGTATGATATGCGGGATCGTCTCTCTCCCCGTCTAAAAGTGGCCGGCGTCGATCGCCGGAACGATGGGGGGGCTGGATCCCGAGGGAATACGGGACGGAGGATCGCGAATACCAGATCTCAGATGATCCCGGGGAACGGCTGGAAAGGGGGGAAGATGAGAATCCCGGACGTTCCGAATGCATGGGAAACTTGAGCCTGCACGGAGCCGATGAGAATGAGGGGAAAGGAGACCCGGGGTCCCGAGGGCGTCCGGCCTTCGTTTCCAGCCGCTTTTGCGAACAAGATCGAGACTTGCCTCCGTCTCGAGGCTCTGCTACGAAATGGAGCGAGAGGCGGCGGAGGACTAATTACACTAGAATGTCACGAAAGAGGGGTTGGGAACTGGGGTGAAAGGCTCTTACATTCGAGGGACGAGGCTCGTCTACGTATGAAGCAAGGTTTACGAGATGGAAGAGCTCCCCAAGGCCATCGGTTCTGCGCCGGCCGAACCGTCGCGGCAACGTCTTTTCTCGGAGAAATGATGTCGATGCACGAGTGTCCGCCCCAGTCGTGTAAACATAGGCGCGGCATGACTCATCTCCCGACGAGAACTACCGTAGAAGCTTTGCACACGGTGAGAACATAGTGCGACGGGCGATCGCTGAATCGTTCGAATCTGCAAAGTGCACGAAGGTCGAGGCCGTCGGTCTGTGAAGTCGTTGCCGTGCTGGGACGAGTTCGTTGCCACCTCTCGACGGACGCGATGTCCTCGATGAGAGAAATGAATTCAAATTTAAGAAAATATCCGTCCGCGTGAAAAATGTGGCAACCCTGGCACTAACGTGGCGTCCGAGTGCCTCTCGGACGTGGGCCGACACTCGATCCGATTGCAAATTGATTTTGCGCTGCCGGTTGGGCTGTGCAATTTCCGTCGGGCGTCCAATGCGTTCATAGTATTTCGCCGGTTTAAAGAAGAACTCTGAGGGTTTGTTGTTTGACTCGTGACGTGAAGCCGAGCTCGTGGAGCTGGCCTTTCGTCCGGCACATTGGGATGATTACGAGCGCAGTATTAATTTCATTGACTGCTAATCCGACCGAAAATTTTGTCAAAAAAACTATCCACGTCTAACTTCTTTGAGAGCTGTAGGCCTTAACCTAGGCTATGAAAAGCCCCTCCCTCTTTGAACTTTTTTTTTTTAATTTACCAAGTGTCATTTGTCCGAGTTAGGAATTGTGGTGACTTCTATCACTTAGAACGTGATAAGGCTTCCGCCAGCCTGCCAAACGCAGACATGTCTATCAAGGTAGAGGAGTGTGCTTCCTTTGCTTTGTGGGGAGATTTTGAGCCATCATTTTAGGCTAGTGTCACCAGATTCTCTATATGAAAACCAGGACATTTTCGAGAAAAATGCCTGAATGTTAATCCTTGCAATGCAGAAAAGCTTGGACACCAGAATGGATAGGAAATTTCAGATTGGGGTATAACCTGAATAGCCAGGACATCCAGTCACCCTGTTTTAGGCCTACCAGCTCAAAACTGAACAATTTAGCAGTATTGAAGGATGCCATGGTCAGTTTAAAACTTCTCACATTGTGTCAGAATAGGATATAGTTGACATGGAGTTTAACAAATTCAAGGTGTCTGAAGTTGGGAAGTGGGGACATTCATTCTTGGTGTGGGGGCTACCTGCTTTGAAATGGACTTTTGAAATCACTCTATTTTTGAAATATCTATTCCCTGCACACTGCTTAGTCTTCAAGTGAGCGCTCTGTCCTAACTATATGACTTGTGAAATCCTGCATCTCAATAGGTACTCTTAGGTTGAAACTGCTGAAAACAAACATGCATGGCTCTTGTAAAGCGACGAAAGCCATCGCTCCGGAATGTGCGACACCTTTCACGACTTTCAGACCTAGCATTAGATGTCCATTTACACTTTGGAAAGCAAAGCCTGCTTGGTCATGACTTGGGACCAAGCTCTCTTTTAGAATGTAGGTGGCATCTACTGTGTAGATGTTATGAGTCAGGTGACTTCTGGCATGCCCCATATGTCAGGGCCAAACTAGCTTGGCCAGTGGACTCTACCGTGTTTTAAATAATTTGTGCAAGAAATGAAGCTTGAGGTTGGGTGACATCTTGTGCTGGGCTGTAATTGCTCTCTGTACCCTACATATGTGTTAATACTGCTATTATAATATTCAAGTAGGTCCCATGTTAGGAAGTGATTGGCTAAGCCTCATGAAAGGCATACACTAGTCATAGCCCTGAAATTTGGATGGGTTAGTTGGGCCTGCCATGTTCAAAGTCCATCCTAAGCTTAGCACTGAAGGTACTTTAACAGTACCTTCAATGCTTTACCATGAGATGTGGCTTGTGGAACTGATCTGCTTAGATCCAATCACAAACCTTGATGACATTTGGATGGCATGGAGCGACTTTATTTTCTGCAGTTATCTTTAACTGTAACTGGGTATGATGAGTATGATGTGTGAGTATACTCGTCATGGGATTTCAGCTCCTCAAAACTTGTGGGTTTGACAAATGTACTCATCTTGGGTCTCTGGTATAGAAAGAGTATAAACTTTTTGTGAATGCTCTTTCCATAACATTAAAGTTTCAAGGCTGTGGGATGAAAATTCACAGGAAAAACAAGTACTCCAATTTCAATTTCTAAGGAATCATTCAAATTGCCAAAAACAGTCTCCTTAAAGGATTATCTTGAAATGTTATTTTAAAACATAAAAAATCAAGTAAAATTTCAAGGAGATGAATCAATACAGAGAAATTAAATTCCATTATTCATCCAAGTTCCCCACAGAAAAAAAATTACCCACCCAGTTTGCCACCATTATGGGGTAAGCTTGCCAGTTAGAGGTTATTGGCAAGGTGCTAGGAAGCTGTACTGGCTCAAAGGTCTCCTGGTCTCATTGTGCTACTGCTCCAGGCATGGGGAACACTTTGCTTACTTCTACCAGGAACTTACTTTTAACAAAATTATCACCCCAGAGGGCTCCTGCAATTGATGTATGCATGAAATGGTGGGGGGGGGGAGACAGGTAGTTTTGTACTTTGTTCCATTGTTTGTAATTCTATTATTTATCTTTCATAACAATATTATTTATGAGTTTCTGTTACTGGTTGAATTCCAGGTACTAAGACATATAATTAGTTGTGTATCCAAACTGAGCTAAAGCAGAAATTCATCATGCACCCAATCTATGTCCAAGGCTTCATAGAAAAATTGCCCACAAATTCCATGCCATAATAAAACAATTCCTATCCCCTTTTTCTATTGCCATTGTGTCTCCTGCATAGGCTGGACTTCCAAGGCCACTTGATCAGGCAATTGCTAATATTCCCCCTCATTGAGATGAATCACTGACCAATAGGAGAGATTCAAGATTGTAATTTTTATTGGGTGACCATTAAGCTATTCAGCATTTTGGTAGATTTGCCATGGGTACTACTGCCTATATAGTAAAATTTAGTTGTGTTCTGCATTGTGTTCTGCATTATGAGTCAATCAGTGGGGTAGGCAGGAAATCAGCAAGGGGGGGGTTGAGGCCAGCTAGACACCCTAACCTTATGCCTAGCTCCACCACCCGGAATTTACCTTTTCAAAGAAATCATGGTCAGGCATCTTGGGTCTGTGGACGGACATCAGACTTTCCTCGAAGGGGCATAACTAAAACTGGAATTCCCAAGGAAGGTTGAAATATGCCTGTCAGTGTTACTGACTGGGAAGCTCAAGGGGGGGGTTCTAACCCCCAAAACCCCCTCTTTCCATACGTCACTGAAGTCAATTGAAATGAAAGTTTGCTAATTTTTCTTTCCTATTCATTGGTAATACTTGTTGCTTGTAAAATATAAAAGTAGGCCTTTCAAGCTGACCTTGAATTGAGTCCTCAAGTTGGTTAGCTTGCTGGTGATATTAGGCCCATTCCTAGGCCTACCATGAACAGCATTTTCTGAACCTATGTTATCCATCTTTCATTTCAGATTTCCCTAGTTTTTTTTTGTCCCTGTGGTATTTGTGGGCCAGGAGGCCTTTTAAAGCAAAATTTACTTAATCACCTCACCCAGGAACCTTCCCCCGATCACAGCCGAGATGTCCACGTCCAGTGACTTCGGGAACCCATTGCGGAAATTCAAGCTCGTTTTCTTGGGAGAACAAAGCGGTGAGAAACACGAACTCGTGTCTGACATTTTCCATCTCGACTCGTCATTTCTCTGGGTACATTTGACTAGATTGAAGGGCTTGGTGGTAGGCTTCTGATGAATCTTAGGGACACTATGAGAGAGCATTTTTCAAAGTTGAATTAATTCAGTTTTTTTTCTTGTGCATGTTTGTGTCCATCTCCATCCCATGTGGCTCCTTATGTCCTAATATTTGCATATCTTCTGATTTTCCCCCATTTTTTTCAACAGTGGGAAAGACGTCACTCATAACGCGCTTCATGTATGACAGTTTTGACAACACCTATCAGGCCACCATTGGCATAGACTTTCTCTCAAAGACAATGTATCTTGAAGATAGAACTGTGAGTTGTATTTCCATATGTATGATCTGCAGTTCTCTATCTGCAGTTGCAATATACATATAATTGACAATTGGATTGTGTTTTCTCCTCTTACCTTTCTCAGGTTCGCCTCCAATTATGGGATACTGCAGGACAGGAGCGATTTCGCAGTCTCATACCGTCCTACATTCGAGATTCCACTGTAGCTGTGGTGGTGTATGATATCACAAGTTGGTTTTTTTTTTCTTCACTTGATGAGGCACTTTGTGACATACTAATATGGGGCTTGCATTCCTTATGATATATTTTATTCTTGCCCCCATTTTCTCCCAGATGCAAATTCATTCCATCAGACGTCAAAATGGATAGACGACGTGCGGACGGAGCGAGGGTCTGATGTGATCATCATGCTGGTGGGGAACAAGACCGACCTGTCGGACAAGCGGCAGGTGACCACCGAGGAGGGGGAACAAAAAGCAAAAGAGCTCAATGTCATGTTCATTGAGACCAGCGCTAAGGCTGGTTACAATGTCAAGCAGGTGAGGATGTCACTCAGAGTTTCCTTCCCTGTGGTCAGTTACTTCCAAGTTCTGTTTCATCCTCCAAAGACTCAACTCCATTGTCATGTTGGCTCCTTTTTCAAATGTTTACTTTAAGGTTGGCTTTTTGTTTGACTTTTCGGTTTGAGTTATATTGTGAAGAATATGGGAACATTATGGAAACCTCAAGTCAACCAACAAAGTACTTTTCTCATTTCAGCATTATACAGTGTTCTATGATATATATAAATTGAGACAAAAATGCATTATGGAAAAACTTAAAAAAGAGAAACATATAAGGAATTGAAATGCAAATGAATCCAGTCCCTTGGATTCGCTTACAGATTTGTTTGCACCATCTTGTTGGAGCCAATTTCTCCCAAGTATGATAACATACTTTTGTCAAGTCATGTGCATTGTGTAGTTAATGCATTGGATGACAGTAGGCTCAGACCTCCACAGAAGTGGAGATGGTTGGGACAACAAGGATTTCTCGCCTTTGGATGGATTGGAATTCCTGTGTGGTTGTGGCTCATTTCCTTGCCTCACTCCTTTGACAGACTTGAGAAGTTATGCTAAAGAATTCAAAATATTTTCAAGGCATTGAGAATCCTAGTATGTACCTGAGCTACTAGGGCTGTCACAGTGGATTGATATGTTGATGTGACTGTTGATAGTTGGAGGCATCAGTGGTTTAATCAGCCATCATGATGGTTCTTACTTTCCCTCTCAACAACCCACCCATAACCAGATTGAAAATGCCATGAAACAGAGACAATCCCCTTCTATTGTGACAAGAGGTGATGGTAGTTACCATCCTGATCATGATGAGAGATGACAGGATGCTGAAATCTGTCAGTCAATGCCTCAAAGCATTCAGGGATAGTAAATAATGCATTAATCCACCATCAATTGTTCTGGTTGAGGCAGCAATGCTTTCAAAACAGCTTTTGTGGCAGTGTTAATAGCAAGATATATTGACTCACCTTCGTCAGAGTCTGACTCTTCCCACCAATGCAAGTTAGGTTAGGTTAGGTGAGGGTTATGAAGGATTGCATTAGTAGTATATGTGAACCTGTGAAAGTTAAGGTTTTGGTTGTTTAGTTTAGGGAAAAAGGTGAGTCTTTTTTTTTTTGGAAGGGCTGCCCTTGAAATACATCAGGAAGGAAACAGCAATAAGGAGAATGGAGGATATTGGATTTTAGAAGCGGGATAGATTGTTGTTGCAAGGTACAGTACTTAACATAAGGCCATATAGGGAAATTCATGCATGGCATGGTTGATGGAGAAAGTATCAAAGAGGGATGGAAGAACTTCAGCTTTATTTTGGCTGGGTACTTATAAATAAAAAGATTTGGGTTTTTGGGGTATGAGTGCCCTTATTGCTCAAAAGAGAAAGATGATGTTTATGTGCTGCTGGAATGTGGAAGTATCATGAGTAATTGTTTAGGTCAATATTTTGGAAGTTCTCTAGTTGTTGCAGCTCTTTGCTAGAAATAACATAATTTAAACATGGCAATTGTTGACTACATGTACTGGGAAAATGTTGGAAATTGGGAAATAAACTCCCACGTATTTCGGCATTCTGTTCTCTGACATTCTCTTGCAAGAGGCATCCCCTCGTAACAGTAACCTAGGCAGCTCCCTCATTTTATAAGCCCTTAAAAGCTCCCTCTTTTATTGAATGCTTTAAAGCTATTCCTTATCTATAGCAGGGACAGGAATTCAGATAAGATAAGAAGAATCTGATTGGAGAACCACAATAGTTCTCCTTTTCCCAATATTTTTCAACAGTTTCTAGGTTTTCTGCCTTCAAAGGCTGCATGAAGTAATATGACATAAGGCGCTGTACCGTCTCATAAATGTGAGGTTAACCATAATGATGAAAGAGGCATATCCAACCCCCATGTGAGAATCCCAACAAACCCTTCACCTTCATTGACTGTCTTTTTTTTGTTGAGCAGCTCTGTTCTTCACGCGTTTGGTTCAGGCAGTAGCTGTTGCAACCTGAATAATTTTTTTGACTCAAGAGGGTGTGGCCAGGTCTTTGCAGTCAAAGAAAAGTATTTGCTCATGGGATGAATTCCTTTCCAGAAACAAATAGATTATTTTATCAACTATCTTATAGCTAAGTGTGAGTTATTTGAAATCTCAAGGTGAGATTGTTATTCTGAAGAAGTGGAAAGGGTCATGGATCAATAGACAGTGACATGACACAGCAGTTCACTGATTTCTGTGACATGACTCAGCAATCAGACTCCTATTGCAAGTACATTGTTGAAATGGATGTGTGACTGTACTGTGTCTAAGTGGCAGCTCCTTAATACATCAACATTGTTTTTTTTTCCTGGCAGTTGTTCCGTCGGGTAGCCGCAGCCTTGCCAGGAATGGAGTCCCCAGATAATAGGAGAGGAGAAGATAGTATCCTTTTACTGATTATCTCATACATACTGTATGCTTCTTTAGCAGCAGATATTTAAAGGTCTCCAATACCTCCCCAAAGTGTTTGCTTGCCTTTGCACAGATAAGCTGAGAAAAAGTATCATAAGTTCTGGCAATGTGAAAAGTTAAGCTGCTTTTCATGCACTCATCATTGGTTTAACAATTGAGGTACAGAATTCTGGAACTTGCAATGTTTTTGCTGACAGAGAGGGAGTACCTGAATAGCATCATAGCCTGAAAGTTTTCATTGGATCATTACGCTTCTTATAAAGTAAGTTATGAGAAAGGTAAGCACCATTTTGCCAATGGAGTCAAGTTGTATCACTTGAAAATCTCTGAGCAATATATTGTGGAAAACCATCCATCCAACTCTTGGCATTTTGTGTTTTTTTTTCCTAGAATGAACTTCTTTGTTGAGATAGGGTTACCTTTCTGCCAGCAAAAAATTGTGTGACTCCACTCTTGCTGTATTATATGGTGTTACTCATTTCTCTTGGGCAAGATGAGGTATTTTGGGATGTTTCTGGTTCCCAATTGGATGTTTCACCTAAAAAGGAAATGGAGAAGTGGTGCGAGATTAGGAGTGCCAAGAGGATGAGGCTTGAATAGGGGTGCAATTTTTTTTGTGCATGGTCTTGTTACTGAGGTTTTGAAGGAAATCTTTCATTTCCCCCCATTTTGTATTTGACAATGCAATATATCTTGATTTGATAGGAAGTTATTGAACTTTAAAATATCAGAACTTCAGTTTTGGCCTTATTGGTTCTTGGTGTAAGAAGCTGCAGGAAGGACTTCAACCAGAGTATATCAGTTAGCATATGTTTTCATGTGGTGAATAGGGACAACTTGAAAAACATGATGGAATGGCTTGAGGTCATTGAAGTATCTTCCAGGAATTTACAGGAATAAGAGCTTCTGAATAGACTACTTGCTTACTGTTACTGTCCTTTCCAGATTTTATGGATGCCCAAAATATTGTTGGTTAATGTGGCAAATGTAGAAATTATCTACTGGTGATCTTATCATGGATCTGATTCAAATGAGATCTTGTATCTTCAGCAGTGCTCCAGTATAGGGAGAAAGTCTCCTTCATTGATGAGTGGGAATTTCTTTTACCTGTTTCTAGTATTTCTCAGTGACCAAATAGTCAGAGAATTTCCTTCAATATCTTGTTTACAAAACCATGTTTGGGGAAAGTGTGTGCAGAAGTAGTTCTTATTTTACTGCACAAAAGAAATGGTCAGAGGGTTTTTTTGAATGTTGTAATGCCTTTTACTAACATTGAGCTTACTCTTGTTGTATGTCACTACCCAAGTTTCTCCACATAGGATAACTTCACAGCACTTCTAAACATATAGAACTGCTAAGTGCATGCATGCCAAGTGCAAGGAATGTACTGGACCTTTCTCAACACTCCTTATAACGTCCAAGGTGAGAAGGGGGATTGGTATCATTTTGGGTATGCATAATGGGATTTAACCTTCTCCTGGCATTCTGGACTTTTGCATCTACTGATTGTTTCTCCACTCTCATCTCCAATAGGATGATGGTGTACGAACACATACACCAGCAATGTGCATGCTGAAAGAAAGTTGATCTTCCTAGTGCATACTCATGCCATCCTTCAGGTCTGCTGGATGAGCCTATGAAGGGAAATGTAAATTTAATTTTTAAACTTGCTATAAATAACTGGAATGGGATGCCTTTCATGGGAAGGGAATGGCTGCTTATGTGCTTCTACTTGCATGTGCTGGGCGATTTTGCTTTGATCCCTTGCCTGCTTCTGTGTTAATTTGGTTATCATTTGTAGCTTACCTTCAGTTATATTTATTGGAAAGATACTGGAAAAACTTCGTGGAAGTCTCTTGATCTTGCCTAATTGTTCACTTAATGTTAATGATAAAACTTGATGAGTAGGTTCAAGTTCAAGTAGGTTGTTATCCTTTTGCATATTTACAGTATTATCCATTATTTATTTGCTGACCCCTACCTCATTTCCTTGGCTGAGTTGTTAGGACCTCAGGCTAGCGTATGAAAGCCCCAGATCTAATTGGTGCTCTCAGGTCATACCTGCTTCCCCTTGGGCTGATGCTGAGGCCACCCTATGCTCTGGTGTGAGGGGTAGGGGTTTGGTGCATCTCATTGGCACCAGCCATAATTTCCCCATAGAAATCTTATGAGAGGAAAGAATTTGGTTTTGTTGGCTAGGTAGCTTTCACTTCCTCTTAGTTTCTGACTGGAAAATTGCATGAGCTTTCAATATTGCAAACATTTTTTTCTCCCTCAAGGGCAGTGTTTGTGAAACATTGAGGAGACGTCATGGATAACCATTAGTTTAGCTAGAAGTATGTTTCTCAGCATCTATAGGTCATATAACCTTGATTCTGGATTGAGCTGTTTATTATACCATGGGTATCTGTATTGAAATGGGTAGAGCAGAGGATAGTCTAATAAAAGATGGGAGAGTCAAATTGAAATGTGATGAGTCATTGGTAGATGTAAACCAGATGGATCTAATGCAAAAAATTGCTCATGGGCTAGAAACAGCTGTCAAAATAGGCAGAGATGGTGTGTTTAAGAATCAACTTGAGAAAATGATATATGAATATAAAACTGAGCTGGTGAATGAAAAGTAGCTTTTTCTTTCATTTTGTTTGCATCTTGAATCATGTAAG